GTGAAGACTTCGCTAATCTGTCCGTATAACAAAATGTCTTCCCAAAAGATAATGGCGCCATTTTTGCACAGCCATAACTATAGCCATTCATTCTCGTTCATAAACTGATTGAAGTTTGGAATTTAGAGACAAATCTTTGCTAAGAAAGGCAATAGGTCGCCCCTCCCGCATCAACACGGCCCCTAAACCATTCCCAGAAGCATCAGACTCTATGATAAATTTTTGTGTGAAATTAGGCATTTGGAGGATTGGAACACTCGTCATGAGTCTTTTTAATTCTTCAAAAGCACCTTGAGCTGCTGTACTCCACACAAACGAATCTTTCTTTAATAGAGCAGTGAGTGGGAGGGCTGTCTTTCCATAATCTCGAACAAATCGTCGATAATATCTTGTCAAACCAAGAAATCCTCTGAGTGCCCGATGTCCTTTGGCTCTGGCCATTTAGTAATGCTCTCTATCTTTCAGGGGTCAACCACCACTCCTTTTGCTGAGATCACATGCCCCAAATACTCTAACTGTTGCTGCTCGAAATGATATTTCTTCTTATTGACCGCCAACTGATTATCTAATAGTGTTTTTAAGATAATGCTTAGATGCCTTGCATGCTCGCCCATCTCTTTACTGTAAATCAGTATGTCGTCGAAGAAAACTAACAAAAACTTCCTCAAATACGGTTTGAAGACATCATTCATTACTGCTTGAAAGGTGGTTGGTGCATTGGTTAGGCCGAAGGGCATAACCAGAAATTCATAGTGCCTTTTGTGTTCGGAAAGCTGTTTGTGTGTGTCCTCTGGTTTAACTCTAATTTGATGATAGCCTAACTTCAAATCAAGCTTGGAAAACACCGTTGCCCCTTCTAACTCATCAAATAACTCGTCGATAGCTGGAATCGGGAATTTGTCTGGAACTGTCACCTTGTTAACTGCCCTATAATCCACACATAATCTTCATCCACCGTCCTTCTTTACCAATAAAATAGGACTTGAGAATGGACTTATGCTCAGCTTTATAATCCCAGAGGCCAGCATTTCCTTGACAATGCGCTCTATCTCATTTTTCTGATAGTAAGGGTACCTATACGGTCTAAGGTTTGGTGGTTGAGTTCCTAGAACTAATTGAATGGTATGGTCTCTCGATCTGGCAGGTGGTAATCCTAGAAGTGGATTAAAAACTTGACTAAATTTCTCCAACACATCCAACAATCGATCATCAATATCCCTATTTTCATCACATTGTGTCTGAATCTATCCAAACTCTATCAAACAACCCTGCTCTTCACGTTACAATGCCTTAATCATAGCTTTGAGAGACACCATGGTTTTGTTAAGTGATGGATCCCCACACAAACTAACTGTCTGATCTCCCAATTTAAACCTCATTGTTTGCTTTCTCCAATTAGTGATTGTCTCACCTAGAGTCTCCAGCCATGTAATTCCCAGAACAGCATCAACACCACTCATGTCAAATGGAAAGAAGTTGAACGATGGTAACACCTTGTAACTCCATACAAACATCTCTACACTCTCATTCACACCTCACGCTGTACCCATCACCCACTCTAACCCCAAAAGTCTGAGTTCCTACTATAGATATCCCCAACCTTTTAACCACCTCAGAACTGATAAAATTGTGGGAAGCCCCACTATCAATCAATACAATCAACTTCTTACTTTTGATTCTTCCTTTAAGCTTCATTGTCTTTGGACTGTTGATCCCCACCATCGAACTGAGAGAAAGTTCAACATTTTCTTGTTGTCGCTCGATTTCAGGTTCAACTATTTCTCCATCACCAATTGATTCTGGTTCATCTTCCTCTTCATCAATTAAGATGATTTGGAACTGTTTTTCACCACATTTGTGTCCAGGAAAGAACTTACCGTCTCATCTAAAACAAAGGCCTTTCTCTTTTTTTTTTTTTTTTTGGATTTCTGTGTCTGTCATCTTTCTAAATGGAACTCTTTTCATTGAAAGTTGGTCACTCAAAGGTTCGAAAAGAAGATGGTGGTTGGTCACGAGGGGAGTAATTGGGCGACGAACTCTGTATTGAGGATTCAGGTGTTCATCGATTGTAATTGGAAACAGGGGTTGATTTTAGGGATTCTGGCAAATTTGGTAATTTTGGGTTGTCATTGGGTTAGGTCAGATTTCTGGATCCATGGGTGTTGAACTTGTATGAAAGCCCAGCTCCATTCATGCGGGTAAACTTAGTTGCTCCTAATCGGGCTTCCTCTAAGGCTTGATTTCTCTCATCTATTCTTTGGGCCAATTCAATTATTTGAATTAAAGAGCTGGGTTGGGCTAAACGAACTTCAACTCTGATCTCAACTTTAAGCCCATTTACAAAAGCAGCCTGTAATATCTCTTCCTTCTCCTCTACCAAAAATGCAGCCATCGCTTCAAACTGTCGACAAAATTAAGCCATTGAACTAGTCTGTCTCATCGCCATTAAGGACTCATAAGGATTATGCTCTTGTGATCCACTAAACCTCTGGAGGGGTGCAAGTTTAAACATGGCCCACGAACTTGTCGGAGTTCTGGATTCAGTCCACTGGAACCAACTGATGGCACCTTCCATACAAATGGTCGCCACTATCAGTTTCCCTTCCTCAGATATTCCGTTAAGGTTGAAGTAACACTCCACTCTAAAAATCTATTCGTAAGGGTCCTCGTCGGAGAATATTGGCATTTCCAATTTTCGTCCTCCTATTTCACTACGATTCTGGCTACTGTCACCAGACCCACTAGCTCCATTGGGATTTTCTACTTGGTAAGAGCGAACATTGTCCAATGAGTGCATCTCCGTTCTGCCAGCTTCTGCTTCGTCCTTTCTTCGCACCCAGGATTGTATATCTACCAAACATTCTCAGATAATACCCATTTCAACCCCTAACTTTGTAACTTCTCTCTCAACATTATCCATTCTATAATCCATTTTCGTCACAACCATTACCTAGAAACCAGTGCTCTGATACCACTTGATAGAACACTGACCTGTGAATCACCAAGAAACACAAGACAAATCTATCCAATACGAATTCACAATCAATAAGCACAGTAAAGAAAAGGAAATAAACTCTATATTGACGTTAAAATAGACCAGTACATCCAGAGATCATGTTCTATCATCTACCTAGTGAACAAGCAACAAATTGGAACAATTCTAAGTACTAAAAAGAATATAAAGATAAGACTGAACTTCGAGGGTCAGTCACCTCCCCCCTTCTAAACCTTAACCTTCTTTTTTTGAATATCCTCCAATTCCTTATCTCTCTCACTTTTATTCTCTGACACCTTTTGCTCCTAACTGAATTCTTCTTCCTTCCAATCTCATTAGGCTACTTGTCCTCCCAAAAATAACTCCTAACCTCATGCATAACAAATATTCCTCTACTTCTCACCTCTACCCTTCCTACTGTAGACTAGCCTCCCAAGTGGCTCATCAGAATCAAACACAACTACACTTATAAATACAACCATGACCTTAATCACAACTTTTTATAATTTAATTAATAATAAGCACAATTTGAACGTAAGACCACTAAATAACTTGACTTTTATATCATTTTAAGTAACCACTTAACCTCAAAGCGTAAGTTTATAGTTATAGATGAGGATCCAACAAAAATATTTATGCACTTCCTGGTTGTATTCACCAGGTCATGGTTTATATGTCTATGTATTACAAAAATATCCTATATTAAAACCTATGCTATTTTATGCCGCTTGCTATAAACTTGATGAAAATGCTGAAAAATTTATTACATTCTACACGTAGTCTGAATTTACCTCAATGGATACACGCTCTTTGAGTGATGTTTTATGCAAACTTCATGTTAAATTAGTGTGCTAAATAGAACTGAAATGTGCTTTATTCAAATACATTAGTTAAGGACATACATGATGAACTAATGTAATAATGCACTTGTGATGCAGGTTTTATACAATGAAACATGTAGCTATATTTTGTTATTGCTCGTTGATTAAGAAATGGGAAAAAGAAAAAGAAGAAATACTTTCAACCATTTTTTACCATTTATGCTGCTGTATTTGATGGATGACTTACATTGGTTCTGCTTCGTTCATTAGATTGTGGTAGGAAGTTTCATGCCAAATGGTTACAAGGTACATAAAAGGAAGCACCATCGAGAACATGTGATTCCTTCTATGTCTCCGGGTGCTCCTGATACAGTGACAGCAGCAAGACCAATTTCACAGGCAAAACCTTATGGGGAGACCTGTTTGACCCCTGTAACTCCAATACTGGGACAAAACCATGCAGAAGTGAATAACACCAAAAACAACGAACAATTGCCAAATGTCACATCATCCCCTAGTCCGGGTTGGAATGGCTCAGAGACCACATCTAACCAGGGCCCATCTCCTGATATCAATGTGTCTCTGCTCAGTGAATAGGCTGTACAAGGTATGTTTATATTTACTACTCAGAAAAAATTAAAAAAACAAAGAACTAGTGGAGAAACATAAATAATTCTTATTCCCGTTCATTTTCAGGTGTATTTCGAGACTTGGAGGCTGATGTGATAACTGGATGAACTAATCTTATTTCATTTTCATTGTAACAATTAGATTAATTAACATAAAGTTCCCAAATTGCTGCCTGAAATTTAGAAATTAGAAACAAATGCAGCATTCATTTGTTAGCAATTGTAGAAGCATTTTTATTTTACAAAAATACTGATCGTCAACTGAACTAAATTAAGACAGTTCTATTCATTCACTTGATATTATGTTTAGTTCTCCTTTCTCTTGTAATCTTGTTTGCCATTCTTGTGAATGATCGTTTCTTGATATGCATTTCAGCGTTTAGTTTTTGCTGTTCCAGAGCCGGTATTCTGCCTCATTGCAGCTTTTAATTATTAGATTTATTCATTGCTTAGTGAGGGAGAAAAACAGAATAAAGATATGCAAAGTCAAGCCACAAATTATTATATTAGATGAACAGCCACTTCACACACCCTTGCAAATGTATCATTTTCTTATCACCATTCATCACTTAAAAGAGTAGCTTTTTTGATGTGGGTGACAAACTTGGAATAATAATCCCAATCAGGATGCAAGGCTGTTATTGCAGGCTGCTGTCCAAATGGGTGCTCTTTGATATATGAAGGAACATCATCTGCATCTACCAGGCCATCCAAGTACAGCCTCAGCTCGCCCTTAGGACCTAAGGCATCATAATCAGCATCGCTTGCTTTGTATTCAGTTGGAAACACTGATGTGTGGGGCTGCAAGACAAAAGACATAAGATTAGGAAATCCTGAAGAAAATTTTCAGTTGTTCAAGTAAGAATATAATTGATGTTGGTTCACATATTACAGGATTTAGCAAAGCCTTGTAAGCGTCAGTATCAATCAACAATAAGTTGGACGATAAATATTGCCCCACACGCGAAGGTAGATTAGAGTATTTGTTTTCCCATATTTTGTCCAACTCCTTGAGAAAAATGGGCTTGTCTTTCTTCTCCAGGGTGCTGAACCCAGAATTCGTACATTCATTTTGCTCCTATAAGAAACCATCAGACATTTTAGAAATTCTTCAGCAGTACTTATCAATCTTAAAATTAGAGATAAATACTAAACAGTGTATAGTTTATGCTTACCCAAGCAAACAACAATTTGCTTCTCAAACCAGCCATTACACAATCAAGGGCATTACTCATGTACCACCTGTTTTGGTATAAGTCTTGTAGAGTTAGCAAAACACCATTAAATTTCAAAAGAAACAGAAATTAATAAATTATTAGTTTAATAATACTGACTCCCTTGCAGATGACCATATTCCTACTTCAAATCTTTCCAGGCAAAACTTCATAAAGTCCGTACAGTAAGGTCTCTTGTAAACTGCAAGAAAGAATGAATTTCTTAAAAGATTAGTTTCGTTAATTAATTATGATCAGTAGGCCAACAAAAATATGAAAACTTTCACCTATATAGCTTCCATTGGCAGCGTCAGGACTGCGATAGATTGGAACGCTTGACCTCTGCTTATGACAGACCCTATGGCAAAGCAACCCTCCTAGCCCAAAAATAACAAGTTTCTTTCTTGGACCCAGATTCAGTTTCATCAATGAGAGACCACCATAATCTTCTGCATCTTCTTCCAAACCGCTGTGATCATAGCATACAATTTTCTTGTTCTTGTCGTAAATGTTTCCTGCCATTTTTGGAATTATATGTAGAAACACAGATTATTTTTGCGCAAAGGAGAGTGTTGAAGATGAATTATACAACTAAAAAGTTACCCGCCTTCTCTTGGAAGGTTCATCATTAGAAGAGAAATTTTCTTTTGGCTTTATCACCTGATTGGCTGTTTGTTACTTTCTTCGGAGAAAGTATAACTAAAATCTTTTAATAATTTACAGGCAGTAATAATTTAAGTATAACTAAAATCTTTTAATAATTTACAGGCAGTAATAATTTAAGTATAACTAAAATCTTTTAATAATTTACAGGCAGTAATAATTTAACGAAGTCAAGAAGATTGAAGTCGTCGGAATTTGATAGTGAAAGACCAAGACTTTTCAACTTTTTTCTTTTATGTAGGAAGTCTGAATAATAAGTAGAAATTATATATATATATACTGACTCTTTTGCAGATGACCAAATTCCCACTTCAAATCTTCGGAAGCAAAACCTCATAGACTCTTATGAGAAAGGTCTCTTAAAAGAATATATATGATTTATAAAAGTTAAAAAACATTAGACAGCTATTGAGTTTACCTGAATGGCTTCCATAATGAGCATCAGGTGTGTGCGCATTGGGAATGCTGGACTTGTTAGCCAAATTAGCCCTGTGTATTAGCAAACCATTTGGACTTCTGACAAGAGGTTTCTTTCTGGGTCCAAGGTTCACCTTCTCCTGTGAAAGGCCAACATCATCTTCCGCGTCTTCAAAATAATCTCTGTTGCCGACCATATTTTCTACGAGACTAGTTGCAGCAAGCAATTGTGGCTCCTATTTTTAGTTTTATAGCTTCTTATTGCCAACTTTTCAACTTCCTTCTTTTATGTAAGCTAATAATGGTACAAGGTTCAAAGTCGGAGAAATGATCCCATCCGACCTTAATTGTTCAGTTATTAAATTGACGAGGTCAGCTTTGGAGACTATAGTCCTTTGCTAATCTAGAGGTACAAGTTATTGTAGGACTCTTCACTTCACTGTGTATTTATTACATCTAAATCCTGGAAAAAAAAAAACTTTGGTTTTCTTTTTCTGAAGTCATTATATTGGATTTCCCTTACATAGGGAAAAGCCATTTATATAGTGATACTCTATATAGGAATAAGCTCTATATAATCATAAAAAATTTTAATCTCAATTTAGGATAGTTATAAATAAGAATAAATTTCACATTGTAATAAGTTATAATTTTTCTAATTCTTGTCTTAAGGGAAGTTACCTCCACATAGTAATAATTATCTGTATATTACAAAAAAAATATGTATTACGTTACATTAAAGGTTTAAAATGAAATAAAATATTTATCTAAAATTGTTTGGAACAATGATTTATGCTTTAGAGTTGTTACAATACTTTTTAACTTGTAAGTATGTAATAATTCGCTAACATGGACATCTTCTTGTTGAAACTAAAATATTTCTAGTTTTTCAAGCATGTTTAAAACTTGATGGCCCAAATTTTTTTGTATTTCTATAGATCCTCAGGATTATTTCTTTTCTCTTCTTGTCTAATTGCAGTAGTGATTTCTTCTTTAGTTAAAGCATATACGACTTGTTACTCATTTGGATGATTGAGGAAGACATTAATATGCATTCGATTAGTGTAGTGAAGTTGTCGAATCTGATCACTCAATTCTGCAATGAGTCTTTTATTCTCCACATCCACTTCATTTGTAACTTGCAATTCATCGACCCCGGGGGTTCTAATTTTGCAATGCTTAAAACAATTAACAATTGTTTGTGGCTTCACGTCAATTGACCATACAGCAACTGCATTTACAATTTTATTAAAGATACTTTTCTTTTTTGGTTCCAATACATGATCTTTTATCCGTTTCAAAAATAGGCGATTAAAATGTTGACTATAATAACCTTTGAAATTTCTAATGATGCCTACATCACACAGTTGGATTTTAGAAGTGCTAGTTGGTGGTAGGAACGGAACAGTTGTGTGATATTAATACTAATACCAATACTACTAAAATAATTAATTGAAATCTTTATACGCACTATTAAAACATGAATTATAAAATAAGAAATCAAAATATTAATTTTTGTAACTATATCTCTATTAAGTTATAACTCCTTTATAGTAATAAATTAGTTTGATCTAACTATTATGATTATAAAGAGACTTTACTCTCTCTCTCTCTCTCTCTCTCTCCCTATATATATATATATATATATATATATATATATATATCGCCTCGCAAATGAAAAGGATAAAACCCAAGAAGGCTTAGCTCTGCTGTCAGAGTAAGAATCAAAATTTTAAAATTTCCAGGTCAAATGAGAGTAATATAATTAAAATGACTATATATTTCCCATTTGTTGGAGAGGTCTTGGGAGTTTAATCACAATACATATTCATGATCATCCAATAAAATAAAAAATATAAATATACATTGTCCTTTTTTCTATTCAATCAATTTAGTAAATGACCATGATCGGTTGTTTTAATAGTCTTATTAGATGTACTAATTTGGATTAATTTGCACAACCATCCATTTTTTTGTAAGTAATTCGATTTTTCTTTTTTCTTAAGATTAGAGTTTCAATTTATTAAAAGCATCTCTAATAGTGCTCTTTATTTTGAAGAACATCTTTCATATAAATAAAGATATAAAGAACACAATTTTTATTCAAATCCAATAAACTCTTTAAATTTAATGAAAATGTTCTTTATTTTTAAGAAAAAGACTTAATGGGAGAGAGAATTAATAAATAAAATGCATAAGAACTTATAGTTTATTAATTAAAATTAGAATAGAGAGTGAAATGTGACTCTTTAAATGTGGAGAGTCAAACTCACTCTCTAATTTATATTTTAAAAATAAAGAGACTGTTGGACTCTTGTTTTTATGGATAAACTCTTTATAATAAAGAGTTTAAATCATATAAAGAGTCCTTTAGAGATGCTCTAATATATTTGTGCTGCAAAACTAGTTTCCTCATATTTGTTCAGTGTATGAAAAAGGGCAAAAATCACTTACCGACAAAAATATGGTAACTATTGTCATTTTAATCAACTTCCCTCCAGCACTATCAAGATATTAGAGCATCTCCAATGGTACTCTTTATTTTAAAGAATAATTTTTATATAAATAAAGAGCATCTTCATTTATTTCTAAATATAAAGAATAAAATTTTTATTCAAATCTAATAGATTCTTTAAATTTTAGGAGAGAGAATATGTTTTTTCAAGAAAGAAACTTAATAGGAGAGATAAATCATAAATAAAATATATAAAAACTTGTAATTTATTATTTAAAATTAAGATAGAGTGAAATTTGACTATCTAAATATAGAGAATCAAACTCACTCTTTAATTTATATTTAAATAATAAAGAGTCTATTGAACTCTTACTTCTATAAATAAACTCTTTATAATAAAGAGTTTGGATCATATAAATAGTTATTTGGAGATGCTCTTAAGGCATAGGAGAGACAGGACTTTTGGAAAAAGTTGTGTATACTCTATTAGCAGTAGTCATCGGCCAGCAAATTTCTTCCTGGTTCATAATAGGTTAATAACTCACAAGAAAAGAATTTGGTGAGAAAAATGATAGACAAATCTCACATTTTCATTTACATAATCCTATGAGTTTAAACTGCAGGGTCCTTAGGCATGAATTTTAAGAAATTCAATATTTGCCAAAGCAATAGAATGATATGAAACATGAACACCAGTTACATGATGATCGAACAACCATTATTAATACAAACCTATAGCACACAAGAGTATCTTTAAAAGACTCTTTATATAAATCAAATTCTTTATTATAAAATATTTGTCCATAAAAACAAGTGTCTAATAGATTTTTTATTCTTTAAATATAAATTAAAGAGTGAGTTTGATTCTCTACATCTAAAAAGTCAAATTTCACTCTCTATTTCAATTTTATTTAATAAATTACAAATTTTTATGTATTTTATTATTAATTCTCTCACCTATTAAGTCTCTCTTTTATTTATTAATTTTAATTAAAGAGTACATTAGATTTAAATACAAATTTTATTTTTTATATTTAGAAATTAATAAAAATAATTTTTATTTATATGAAATATGTTCTTTTAAATGAACAACATAATTGAAGTACTTAAAAATATATATAAACATCATACAGATTATAAAATCACTTGATTTCACCAATTACAACTTTGACGTTCACAAACAAAGTTACATATAATTGTAAATTAAAGCAACTCCATTCACGTTCAGTAAAATCAAACTCTTTAATATAACGATCATTCTCTTTGAAGTTCACGAATCACTTTGCAGTAAAAACTCCAGTCAGGATGAGATGGGTTCACAGCTGGCTGCCCAAATGGATTCTCCTTCACATGGGACTGTACATCGTCTGCTTCCGCCAAGCCTTCCAAGTACTTAGCCAGCTCCCCCTTGGGACCTAATTCCAAAAAAAAATTATTAAACAATAATAAAACCGAATCATATTCTTACAAGTTATTGTACTTTTGTGAATAAAAAATATAAATATAAAGTTACTGTTTCTCTAGACTATTTCTTACTCTATATGTCATCATCAGGAGCCTCTACATTGTATGTGTGAGGGAAGATGGCAGTGTGAGGCTGCATGAGATTAGGCATTCATTAATTAAAGAGCATTTTAAATTAATTATCAGAAGGTAACGCAATCGCAAATGAGCTGTACAATATCCAGCAATATCAAGATATAAGAGTAAATATTTCTAGAAATGAAAATTAATGCTAAGTAAGTTGAAAAATAAGTAGACACAAGTATTTTATGTATATTATATATATACTGACTCTTTTGCAGATGACCAAACTCCCACTTCAAATCTTTGGAAGCAAAACCTCATAAACTCTTCTGAGAAAGGTCTCTTAAAAACTGCGAGATAAAAATTTAGTAAACTCAATAGCTGCTAATGTTTTTTAACTTTCATAAATCATATATATCCTTATTACCTATATGGCCTCCATAATGAGCATCAGGTGTGCGCGCATTGGGAATGCTGGAATTGTTAGCCAAATGAGCCCTGTGTATTAGCACACCACTTGGACTGATAACAAGAAGTTTCTTTTTGGGTCCAAGGTTCAGCTTCTCCAGTGAAAGGCCAACATCATCTTCCGCGTCTTCAAAATCATCTCTGTTACCTGCCATATTTTCTACGAAGCTAGTTGC